AAATAAATATATAATTTTTACATAAATAAAAATTTACTTTTTTCTGCCACAAGGTGGCAGTGTTAAAGGCTTTAGGAAGAGTGCAGTATTTTGAAATTGATCTCGTGACAGAAACTTTTATTTGACTTGTAATTCTCAAGGATCCAATCGAGGATGGAAAAAATATAAAATGTATTTTCATACATATTTTGGGAGCCATGTAAATATTTTTCCTTTAATTCCCTAATTTTGTAATCAGTATGTTTAGTTTTCTTTTTGCTTTAATCAAAACACTGTAGGCCCCTGATAAAACAAACGAACCTATGGTACAAAAGGGCTTTTAATGAAACATCACAGTCTTTCTCTCCATCCCATTTTCATTCCATAGAGGCAGATCCCTTTTATTATTATTAGGGTTACATGCAAAACTTTGAATAATATGCATTTATCTCTAGTTTTTATTTTACCAACTTTAAATAGCATATGCTCCCTATAATGTGAAAGACAAAGACTTAACTCATATGCCCCCACTTCTAATTCTTCTCTTACTGGTTTTTGATAAATTATTTTTGAATTCTTCAATTGCTTACCTTTATACTTTAAATTGTTCACTTAAACTCTATTCCTTATTCTGTCAATTTTCAACATTACCTCTTAACCCCTGGTTTGTAAGACAAGGGTTTTTTTTTTTTTTTTTGTAGATTTATTTATTTTTAGAGGGGGTTCTGGGGATTGAACCCAGGACCTCATGCATGCTAAGCATGCTCTCTACCCCTGAGCTCTACCCTCCCCCAAGATAAGGATATTATCATTTCAACTCTTCTCTCTGAACCTCAACCACCTCCCAACTTTTGTTAGCTTTACTTTAAAAAAAAAAGCTTGACTCAAATATAATTTACATACCATAAAATTTACCCATTTAAAATGGTACAATTCAATGGTTTTTCCTGCAGTTAGAGTTGTGCAACCATCATCATAATCTAACTTTAGAACATTTTCATTACCCTAGAAAGAAACCCCGGACCCATCAGGAGCCACTCCCCATTTCTCCACAACTTTACACAACCACTGACCCGCTTTCTGTCTTCACAGTTTTACCTATTCTGGACACTTCATGTAAGTGGAATCATACACTGTGTGGTCTTTTGTAACTAGCTTCCTTCACTTTGCATAATGTTTTTGAGGTTCATCCATGTTTTAGCATGTACTTTATTCCTTTTTATAGCCAAATAATACCTCATTGTAGGGATATACCACATTTTGTTTTTCCATCTTAGTTGATATGAATTTGGTCATTTCCAATTTTGTTGCTATTATGAATAATGTTGTTATAAACTGTTAGATTTAGTTTTCATTTTATTCTGTGACCATATTCTGTAATCACCTTGTCTGTTTTGACTATGGCTTGACTCTAAAAGTTGAAAAGTAATGAATAGGATTACATTATTGTGTACACATTGCTCACTACAGGAGCCAAATCGTATGCTGCATTTACTGCTCTACAAAGCTAACGTCACACTCTCTTGTTTCCCCTTGAGGCATCTCTTCCAGAGCTTTCCACTTTCTGTCCCCATGTAGACTCACTGCAAGAGATCATCTGGGGGCTGATAATTCCTGGGTAGATTCCATGTCTTTCTCTTTTTTGTTTATTTCTTTTGTTTTAAGGATATTCATCCTTGGGTAAAACATCCTCAGAAATAGTTCATGGAGGTAAATATTTTACATTTTCGTATGTCTGAAAATATCTTTATTTTACCTTCACATTAACTGGGGCAGGTATAGCGTTCTACATGCAAAACTAGAATTCTCAGAGCCTTGAAGAAATTATTCCATTGCCTTCTGGTACCTGATACCACGGATGATAATTCTCATGACAACTGGATTCTCCTTGCCTTGTCTGTAGTCTGCTTTTCCCCTTTCCCCTCTGAGTCTTTTTATGATCTCTTTATCCCTGGTATTTGAAACTTCGTGATGATGGAGTCTAGCGTGGATGTTGCTTCACTTATGTTAGGCAGACTCATGTCTTTCTTCAGATCTTGGAAATGTTTTGTTCTTTTTTTAAAAAAAATTATTTTCTCTCCATTTCCTCGCTTCTCTTTTTTGGGACTATAAACATTGAATCTTAGCTGCTACTTTTCATCCCTTTGTCTTTTTTTTTTTTTTTTTTTTTTTGCTTAACATTCTGGGAGATTTTTGTTTGTTTGTTTGTTTGTTTTTACTTTACATACCAGTCCCTAAATTAAATTCTTTTTTCTCTTTGGCTTTTTTTTTTAATTTTCAGTGGCTTCACTTGTGTTCCTGAATGGTCCTGCTTCACTGTGTTCTATTCTTGTTTTACAGCTTACTGGCTTCTTCAGTCTCTCTAAATATTCGTTAGAAGGTTACTTATCCCTCTCTCCTCTAATTTACATTTGTTTTTTCCTGTGATTTGGTGCTTTGCTCATCTTGATCCTTATCTTTCTCACCGCTGGTCTTCTGACACGCAGTGACCCTAGGTTTTCTGTTCATCTTTAAGACTGAGGGGTCAGGTTGATTGTTCTAGGTCACTAATGTGAGTTGCATTGTAGCTCTTTTTCCCCAAGAGATCTCTTCTTAAACTGACTGAACATTCTGCATGCTGTAGGGAGTCTGCATGTTATCATATAAAATTTGGAAATATGGGAAAATAAAAAATGTCTATTACCCACCAAACAGAAATAATTACTATTGACTTCATGATGTATTTCTTTTCAGTCTTTTCAATATGCATATTATGGTATATTTTTAAAAATAATGTTATTCCAAGTACAATTTTATGTCCTATTATTTTCATTTATAAACAATTTCTCAAGTCACAAAATGATCTTCTATGACATGACTTTTTTATTGAAGTATGGGTATGGTTGGTTTACAATGTTGTGTCAGTCTCTGGTGTACAGCATAATGTTTCAGTCATGCACACACAAATATATACTCCTTTTCATATTCTTCTTCACCATAAGTTACTACAAGATATTGAATATAGTTCCCTGTGCTATGCAGTAGAAACTTATTGTTTATCTGTTTTATATATAGCAGTTAGTGTCTATAAATCTCAAACTCCCAATTTATCCCTTCCCACCCTCTTTCCCCCTGGTAACCATTAAGTTTGTTTTCTATGTGAGTATGCTTCTGTTTTGTAAATAAGTCCATTTCTATCTTTTTTTTTTTAAAGATTCCACATATAAGTGATACCATATGATATTTGTCTTTCTCTGTCTGACTTACTTCATTTAGTATGATAATCTCTAGGTCCAACTATGTTGCTGCAAATGGCATTATTTCATTCTTTTTTATGGCTAAGTAGTATTCCATTGTGTATATGTATATATACACACATCACATCTTTATCCAGTCATCTGTTGATGGACATTTAGGTTGTTTCCATGTATGACATGATTTATGGTTTACATAGTATTTCATATTATGGACGGACCATCATTCTCTCACTAATTCTCCTGTTGTTGGCCATTTTGATTAATTTCAGCTTTTTTTGTTTGTTTCTTAATTTGTTATTATAGAACATATCCATCACCCTTGTGTGCTTTTACACTAATCTTACTTGCAATCCAGAAATGTACTCTGTTTGATTTAAGCAGTGAGGATTTATTGAAAAGAAAGCAGATAGCCCACCAAATTACCATAAATCATCTGAAACTTACAATTTATATATCGTGTGTAGACACCAGTTCAAGTAAGGGCTTCTCTTTTCCCACCTCCTGCCGCCTTCCTGAGCGCTGTGAGAGCCACTGCACCAGTCACACGGAGTTCAGTTCCCAGTGTTTCTCCTAGATGCTCTCTCCCCATCCCATCCTGGGCCTTCTTCCCCTTCCTCATCTCCTCTGGTCAGGCCTGGGGCAAAAGTACAACTCTGAATCAATGTTACTTATGTCTCAGTATTTAAATGTTATAAATTAACCCCAAATTTTTTAGAAAATGATGTATTCTAACTTTCTCCCTTGACCTTCATAGTAACCTGGAAGGCTGAGCTCTAATTTGGAATTCTTGTCCTGTGCCAGAATGTGATGGTCCAGGAGGAGCGAGCCTCCGGTCCTCAACCTCAGACCCTCGGTCCACCCTGCTGCTTTTCCAATTTCACCTGTGGCTGCCAGGAGAAGGGGCCCTATGCAGGCCTGGATGTGGGCTCGGGTGTTCGACCAGGATCCTGGGGCCCCAGGACACAGAGCATGGTCCAGAAGAGGAGGGGCTGCGTCTCCCCACACTCCGCACTCTTGTAGGGGCATGTGACCAAAGAAGGCCCCGAGGGGTCCCTGCATGCTTGTCTGGGGTGGAGCCACTTTGGTTCAGCCCAGGCTATACTTCTTCCTGAAGCCTCCTTTGTCTCTTAGCATTCGCGTGACCTCACCTTTGTCTGTCATGCTCCCAGTGCATTCAGCACGGCTATCACTCATTCAGCACTGAATCACACGTTCACTGTACTGTCATTTAGCTCTTCCCTTACAGTACTGGCTTCCTGGCTCCCCAGTCAGAAGGGTGGATTCATAGCTTAAAGGTGTCAAATATTTCAGTCATCACAACTGATGCTTCATAAGCACTTGATAAATCAAATGGCAAAAAAATAACAGTAGACTAAGCCAATAGTAATAACTTTGGTCTCAACTTCATGCCTTATTTGATATTTTTGCCATAATTGAATTACATCTTTTGATGTGGGAAAAACATAAATACATGCCACACCCCCAACACACACACCCTGAAAAAGCATCTTTTAATAGGTAGGAACTAGTGTTGTGATAAAGGTTGCTATACATCCAAAGTATAGCTCCAAAATCTGACTATTACATGGAAAATTTTAAGTAAACCAACACATGATAGAATTGTTGACTTCAACATAGGACACGCTGAGAAAAGTTTCAACATAGCACACAATAATCAGTCAACCAGGCCACAAATATATATATATTTTTAGCTTTTTTTTTTAATTGAAGTCAGTTTACAGTGTTGTGTCAATCTCTGGTGTACAGCATGATGTTTCAGTCATACACACACGTACATACATTTGTTTTCATATTCTTTTTCAGTATAGGTTACTACAAGATATTGAATATAGTTCCCTGTGCTATACAAAAGAAACTTGTTGTATATCTAAGGCCACAAATATTTCCTGAACCCCTTCTGGTTGCTGAGTACGGCACTGGGCCCTAAGTCCCAGGATATTCAGTGGTAAATAAAATAAGATGAGGTCCCTGCTCTCATATACTCATTCACGCTGAGTGTAGCAGAGAACTGTTTTCTGTGTGTGTTTGTGTATTTATCACTTACAAATGATAAATATATATCTATAAAGGGTGTAGTGATACATGTATCATTAGGCGTTTCAAGTGTAACTCTAAACCTAAATCCAGGCCAATGAATGTGCAGGGTCTGAGAAAGAACTCACAGGGTGAGCGCGGACTTACCGCTTGCACTGCAGCTGCAGTCCTTCCTGCTGCTCTGAATGTGCTCTAAGTATCGGGGGTGACACGCAGGGTGCACCGGCTCAGGACCGCTTGCTCGCCTCTCTTCCTGTCCCAGCTTCGTCTTCCTTAGGACTGAAGCTCCAATTTTTTCCAGTGACTCTATTCAAATTCTCTTGGGTTTGATTCTAAAAGCCCTAATTAAGGCTCCTTACCATTCCTCCCTAGCAGTTGGCCTAAAAGCTTTTCAGGGATCACTGGGAACTGCTCTGAATGGCCTTTATTATTCCTGCTCTTCCCTAAATCTTTCAGGTGGAAGCAGGAAGGAAGTTGGGAGACGGAGGGGGAGGAGCATGGGCACACAGCTTTGTTCAGGCCCTTGGAGAGCACGGCCTCTCAGGCTGCCCCCACCAACAGGGGAGCTTTGGTATCACGTAGGGACTGCACGTGGTTGGACAGGAAGTGCCCTCACGTTTAGCTGCCTGATCAACCCACAGCTCTCGGGGGCTGTCATCCAGAATTGTAGCAGCACGTCTACCCTGGGGCCCGAGGAGGCAGAGCAAGGCGACCCGGAGGATGGGATAGAGGACAAGGCTAAGAGATGACAGAGGGGATGGCAGAGACTCGGGGAAAGCCAGGCAGCCAGGGGAGCCCACTGGGGGCACCTCCTCAGACGCAGCCATGAACTCCAGAAGCACAGGGAGGAACTGAGTGGATGATAGATTTTGCAGAGCTTCCATGTACATAACCAAAACACGCACATGATTCAAAGGACCTTGCCTTCCCCCGATCAACTGCACAAAGTCTCAGAGGAACACCCCTCTCCGTGTCACTCAGACCCACCCTAGGGAGAGGAGCCTCAGCACTTGTTTACACACGAGACTGAGCATGACCTAAAGAGACTTCTTCAGTGACAAGAGCAACTCAACTTTCAACTGGCATTTCATTTTTAAGCATTGTTGGGTAACAACTAGTGAATAGGAGCTCCCGGGGAAAGTCTCCAGATCTACTGGATCAGCTAGAGTTTAAAATAAAAAAGGTACAGTTTATCTTTACATCCAAGGTGTAGAATGCTACGGTAGGGTTCTCTAGAGAAACGGAACCAACAGAGAGACAGACAGACAGACAGACAGAGAGACTGATTTTGAGGAACTGGTTCAGGTCATTAAGGAGGCTGAGAAGTCCCGATCTGTGGTCTAAAAGTTGGGGATTGGAGAATCAGGTGCCAAAGTTGTTCGTCCCAGTGTGAGTGTGGGAGGAGAAAGATGTTCCAGCTCATGCATCAGGCGGAGTGAATTCTCCCTTCCTCCTTTTTGTTCTGTTCAGGCCCCCAGCAGATTGGATGAGGCTCACTCACGCTGGGGAGGGCACTCTGCTTGTCTCAGTCTACTGCTCCAAATTCTAATCCTTCCCAGAAACAACCTCGCAGACACACCCGGAAATAATGTTTAACTAGATATCTGGGCATTCCATGGCCCAGGCAAGTTGACACAGAAATTAATGCATCAGAGATGCTTATTGTTTCAAACCCTGAAACGGGGAAGAGTCTTCTTTGTGGTCCTTCTCTTCCCCTCTGCAACTCCCAATAATAAAGCCGGCCAAGCCTGAATGTGTGATATGCTAATGGGGGCAATGGAAGTTTTTTAGATGCTTTGTTTCACAAGACAATAGTGTAGAAGATCTTAACAAAGCTATTATGTTGTTCAGAACTTTATTTTTGAATGTCAGAAGCTAGTATTACCAGTAATATTCCTAATTTCTCTTCCAGGCAGATGGATGTCCAGGGCCAACTCTAATGGTCATGTATTCATAAAGGCAAGGTATAATGCTCATTAGTGATTACAGAATATTGTTTTAAGTAAATTAAAATCCATCTGTAAACACTTACCCAGTTCACACACTCTTCAATACTCCCTGGTAGTGTACAGACAAGAGTGACAGAATTACTCACTTGATTTTTTTCCTGCAAATGGAACTACACATAGTGACTCCCTGATTAACCTTGGATTCGATTTCACAAGGAATCTAATCACTGCTTTTCTGTTTGTGTGTGAAGGAAAAGGAAGAAATCATTACCTGTTAAATAAGCCAATGTGCTGCTGTTAAATAGAGTGATGATTAGCATGATTGTTTAGTTTTCCCAAATGCTCTTTTTCTAATTTATATTAATTGTTATTCATTCATAGCAGACCTGGAATAGCGAGAGAGAACTGTGATTTAAGGATCATTTAAGATAGATGGATTTATCTACTCCTTCCACTGTGTATTTGGCCTAAGAGATTAGTTTTTAATCTTAAATGATGAATGACAGTTTATGAGACACTGAACAACTTTTCATCTTTGCCTTTGAAGTAAAGTCAATTTTAGAAAAAAATTAATTTAAAATAAAGATGTTTCCATTAACAAAATCCTTCTATTCATTGAAAGCTCACAGAGTTTAAATAGCCCTAGGATGCAAAAAAGCTTTCCAAGTGTACTCTGAGGCTCCACAGATTAGAAGACATTCAAGGAGGGCCTGAGCTCTACGTACATAAGCAGAGGTTACCTCTCTCCAGGTAGAGTCAAAACGCGGTGGTAGAGATAGTCCTCTAGCTGGAGTCAAAGAGTTTCTTTCTATAAAAGTAACACTTCTGTTGCACCCTAAAGGAGAAGAAGGATGGATTGTGCCAAAGATAAATGAGGGGGCTACTTATAGACAAAGAATATTCTAGACAATGCAGGGACCAGAGAAGAGATTCTACATCAAGTTTAACTGCCCTGGAGGTCAGAATGGTGGCTGTGGACCGAGTATGCAGTGACAGCCAAGGACACAAATCTGTTTTACAAGACGTTCGTATGAAAACAGATAGCCACATGCTGTCTCACGAAAGAGTTGGCTTCCCGGCCCCCACGCAAGGCCATGACTCAGGAAAGTAACCAAGCTGTCCTGTGCTCCGTGACCGACTCTGAGACTTGCTCCCACTCTTCCATTGTTTCCTTTCTTCTCAAATTCCATAGCAGGAAATTGTCAACTCGTTCAAATACCTAAGACCCACTTTTTTTTTTATTTTATGTATTCGTTCCTTCCTTCCTTTCCTTTCTTACGTTTTAGTTTTTCCGCCAACTACTTCGTGTAGGGTAAAACTACTATTACGTAACTTAACC